TCCAGCATCTGTTGTTATTAGAGTTCTTGATTATAGATATTCTAACTGGGGTGAGGTGGTATCTCAATGTTATTTTGATTTGCATTACTTTTATGGCTAGAGAGGTTGAACATTTCTTCATGTGTCTATTGGCCATTATTATTTCCTCTTCAGTTGGGGATTTATTGGGCAGTTGTTTCTTTGAGTATTTGTTGTTGGGGATTTAATTTTTTGAGTTCCAAGTATATTTTAGCTATGAGACCTTGTCTGTTGTACGGCTAGTGAAGATCTTCTCCCTATCTGTGGGCTTTCTATTATCTTGCTAGCTATGCCCTTTGCCATGCAGAAGCTCTGCAGTTTCATGCACTCCCATTTGTCCAACCTTTCTTTGATTTGTTGTGTTTCTGGGTCTCTATTAAGAAAATTTTGGCCTGTGCCAAGGAGACCTAGGGTTTCTCCTATTCCATCCTGCAATGTTTTCAGGATGTCTGCTTTGACTCAGAGGTCTTTGATTCATTTGGAGTTGATTCTGGTGCGGGTGATATATCAGAATCTAGCTTTAGTTTTCTATAGGTGATTAACCAATTTTGCCAGCACTATTTACTGAAGAGGCTGTCTTTCTTCCATTCTATTTTTTTTAGCTCCCTTAGTGAAGATTAGGTGGCTATAGGTCTGGGTTTTCAATTCTATTCCATTGGTCCTGAGGTCTCTTCTTGTGCGAGTACCAGGCTGTTTTGATTACTATGGCTTTGCAGTTGGGTTTGAAATTTGGTATTGATATTCCTCCAGCACTATTCTTTTTGTTATGGATCGGTTTTGCTATTCATGGTTTTTTATTGTTCCATATGAAATTTTGGATTGCCTCTTCTATTTCTTTGAAGAATGAGGTTGGAATATTGATAGGTATCACATTGAATTTATAGATAGCCTTGGGAAGTATTGCCATTTTCACTATGTTGATTCTTCCAATCTAGGAGCATGGGATGTTTTTCCACTTTCTAAGTTCTGCTTTGATTTCCCTTTTCAAGATTTTAAAGTTTTCATCATAGAGGTCCTTTACTTCTTTGGTTAATTCCTAGGTATTTAATTTTTTTGTGGGGCTATTACAAATGGAGTTGCTTTCCTGATTTCAGCTGCACTCTTCTCTTTGTTGGCATACAGAAAAGCCATTGAATTTTGAGGGTTAATGTTATACCCTGCTACTTTGCCAAAATTTCGAATTAGCTCGAGTAATTTGGGAGTGGAGTCTGTGGGATTCTTTAAATACAAGATCATGTCATCTGCAGAGAGGGAGAGTTTTACTTCATCTTTCCCTATTTGGATCCCCTTTATGTCTACATCTTGTCTTACTGCTGTAGCTAGGCATTCTGATACTAAATTGAAGATAAGTGGAGAGAGTGTACATCCTTGTCTTGTTCCTGAGTTTGGAGGAAAGGACTTTAGTTTTTCAGCATTAAGTATAATGCTGGCTGTAGATTTGTCATATACAGCCTTTATTGTATTGAGGAATATTTCATGGATTCCTAATTTTTCCAGAGCCTTCATCATAAAGGGGTGTTGGATCTTGTCAAATACTTTCCCACATCTATTGGGATAACCATGTGGTTCTTATCCTTGCTCTTGTTGATGTAATGAATTATGTTAATTGATTTGCGTAGATTGAACCAGCTTTGCATCCCTGAAATGAATCCTGTTTGATCGTGGTGTATAATTTTTTTGGATGAATTGTTGAAGTCGATTGGCCAAAATTTTGTTGAGAAGTTTTGCATCGATGTTCATTAGAGAAATGGGCCTATAGTTCTCTTTCTTTGATGAGTCCCTGCTTGGTTTTTGGATGAGAGTTATGATGGCTTCATAGAGAGTTTGGTAGTGAACTTTGTCTTTCAATTTTATGGAAGAGTTGGAGGAGTATTGGTGTGAGTTCTGCTTTGAAGGCATTGTAGAATTCCACTGTAAATCCATCTGGTCCTAGGCTTTTCTTAGATGGGAGGTCTCTTATTGCTGTTTCTATTTCAATGCTTGATATGAGCCTATTAAGTTAACTTCCTATTTTAGTCTTAAGGAATGCCAAGCCCATCTTTGTTGGTATAAAATCTCAACTAGTTTGACCATGGTGTGGAGATGAGTAGAATGGCAAAAATGTCATATTAGCTTTCATCAGCAGCCAAATATGTGTTTTGGCAGAAGATGATGTAATTTTAGGTCCTCAGAGATTCTGTAGCTTAAAAAAAGTTATACTGGAAACTGGTGGATCATACTTAGAGGGCTGAGACCTGAGGATCATGGTTCAAAGCCAGCCCAGGCAGGAAAGTCCAGGATACTCTTATTTCCATTTAACCACCAGAAAACCAGATGTGGTTCAAAGTGGTAGAGTGGTAGCTTTGAGCAAAAGAGCTTAGTATGTTACTTAGTATGTTAGTATGTGCTCAGGCCCTCAGTTTAAGCCCCACATCTGACAAAAAATAATGTTGTATATAGGAAAAGCATGGGTTTTGGGTGAGTTCATTAAGCCATCAATAGCAACCAATAATGTAGTATTCTACTGTTTGAAGTATGGTAGTATCCAGTATAATGTATTTCCTTGTCTACTGCTCTGATGGAGAAAGTGGAGGTGAAGGTCTTACATGCCAGTACCCTTTCTATTCGTATGATTTAGATTCTATTCTTCCTGCTGAGAGAAAATGTTGCCCTTCATTGTGGGAAACGTGTTGGAACTTCTGCAGGATCCTTTGATGGAGGAATCAGAATTTCAACTCAAGGTGCAGCCGCAGGCTAAATCCTACTATTCCTGCAAGTAGCATCTATCAAGGAAGTATCTAAGCCCAGATGAAAAGTTTTCTATTTCTTTTGTGTTTTAGGAACTTTGAGGCCTTATCTGTCACCTGATCCTTTATTGCTCAAGACATAGTATAGGTAATTAAGTAATGAGCCAGTATTATTCTTACACAACTAGTTGTGACATCTCTCCCATCAAGAACCTGGGGGGTGGCGAGGGGTGGGAGCTAGAATAATTGCTCTTTCTAGCCTATTCCATTTTGTTTTTTTTTTTGGGACCAGGACTTGAATTTAGTATCTGATGCTTTTGCTCATTGGCTGGCACTCTACCATATGAACCATGCCTCCAACCATAGCTCCTGGGGGCTTGCTTTCTACCTATGGAAAACTTACCCATTCTTCAAAGAACAAACTTTGTAAGCAGAACTGATTCTTAAACACCTGTGGATATCATTTATTTGGGTGCAGTTTTAAGTATGTTGGAATAAGAGCCACCTTGGATATAAGAGCTTAGAGGACCGAGTGCCTGCACTTGACTTTCTGCCAGGCAATTTGTAACTTTTGGCCCTAATGATAACAATGGTTGCATTTATTTACTGGTACATTTATAAAATGTGAATTCAAAGTTCAAAGTTTACACATCCATGATTCCTTGTCCACTGCCCAAACTGGGAGAAGACGATTATCTGACTCACATGCCAGTGGGGTGTGTGGGCACAGGTAATATTTCTATTGGCTCTGCCATCAGCCCCACCTTTTCTCCCAGCCATAAATGGCAGCAGCCTCAGCTCTGCAGCCAGCACAACCCAGGGCTGAAAGGAAAAGTCAGAGGAGAGAATTACTGGATGAGAGTGACCATGGACTTGATCCCAAACTTTTCCATAGAAACCTGGATCCTCCTGGCTACCAGCTTGGTGCTCCTTTATCTGTGAGTAATTAATTGTCTGAACTCTGCTTCTCCTACCACCCCATAACCTAGGATTCAGGGTGAGGATTATTATGGTCTGTTGATTGGGAATATCTAAAAGAAAAACAAATGGGACAATTGCTCAAGAGTCAGATTTAACACCTTACGGGATTATCCTGTAGAGATCCCAGGAGAGAGTTAAGAAATATTTCTCTTTCATGGAACTCTTCAATCTGTCTCTGTCTCTCTGTCTCTGTCTCTCTGTCTCTGTCTCTCTCTCTCTCTGTGTGCTAGTGCCATTGCTTGGAAATGATCTCTGAGTTGATTTTTGGGTCTGAATTAAAGACTCAAATTCAGCAGAAGCAGAATATGAACTGATCACCCTTGCAGCGACCTCAAGATACTTGGGGTGGAAGGTCTCTATTGTTTGTTTTGGTGCTGGACTTGGGCTTTACCACATGTCCTATGCATTGTCCCAGGACTTTTTTTTACTTAAGGTTCTCACTCTACCACTTGAGCCACAGGTCCACTTCTGGATATTTTTGGTGGCTAATTGGAGAGTAGAGTCTCACAGCCAGGTGCTGGTGGCTCACGCTTGAAATCCTAGCTACTCCAGAGGCTGAGATCCGAGGATCATGGTTCAAAGCCAGCCTGGACAGGAAGGGTTGTGAGCCTTACCTCCAATTAACGACTATAAAACTGGAAGAGGTACTGTGGCTCAAAGCATCAGCCTTGAGCAGAAAGAGCTCAGGGACAGTACCCAGTCTCTTAGTTCAAGACCTACCCCTGAGTTCAGGCCCCACAACCATACACTCACTCATACACACACACACACACACACACACACACACACACAGAGAAATGTGTGTTACAGACTTTCCTGCCCAGGTTACCTTCAAACCACAATCCTCAGATCTCAGCCTCCTTATAGCTAGGATTACAGACATGTACCATGAGGCTCCCGTTTCTCTCTCTCACTCTCTCTCTCTGTCTCTCTCTCTCTCTCTCTGTCTCACTCTCTCAACACACACACACACACATACAAAACTTACCTCATCAGCACATTGTTTTAATTCATCGATTGTTTAAATTTACTTTTATTTCTGAATGAACATACATTGGTAATACAGGCGTTTTTATTATGATAATTTCATACATGGGTGCAATAAACTTTGAACACATTCACTTCCTCTATTCTATCCTCCCTTCTCTCCTCCTTCCATCTTTTCAAACAGTGTTTACTGCACCCATTGTGTTATCTTTATACATACACATACACAAAATCTAGCATGTGTAACACATGTACCATCTTTTAATACTCATCAGTCTTTGGTATCCTTTCTTTCCCTCTCTCCCCATTCTACCCATCCCCCCAGACATTCCTCCTTTTAATTATATCCTTTTCTTATTGCTGTCATCTTCATTTTCCTCCTCCTCCTCCTCATCACTACCATCATCATCACCTTCATCATCATAATGATCATTTCAGAGATGAGCGATAGCATGTAATGTTTGGCTTTTGGAACATGACATATCTCACATCAATAAGATGTTTTCCAGTTCTATTTTCCTGCAAATGACATTATTTACACAGTAATATTCCAAAACTAGGTTATTGACTTCTATCAACTATCCACTGAAGGTTGAAGAGCCTAAAGACTCCAGCTACCTTTAGCTCATTTTTGTGACTTTTGGGGTTCTCTCAGAGGCCGTAAGAAAGGAACTGTAGAACATGGGTAATCATTGCTGTTTGAGTTTCTGGTTTTTATTATTTCCGACGTGTTACTATCCCAGTTTGACTGCCCTACTTCTTGAGTTAGTAACTGGCAACTTTCCATATGTGTACAGGGTGTGTGTGTGTGTGTGTGTGTGTGTGTGTGTGTGTTTGTGTGTTTGTGTGTGTGTGACCTGGATTTCTTCTAATATTTATAGATATGGGACCTATCCACATAGAGTTTTTAAAAAGTTGGGAATTCCTGGCCCGAAACCTCTGCCCTTTGTTGGAACTATTCTTGGTTATCGTAAGGTGAGTGTTGTTTGAGCTCTACATTTTGCTTTTCTGGTTGCAAAGACTGGCTTCCTTCCATCTATAGAAAGTGTTGGTGGAGAGGAAATGCTGACTTTCAGAAGCTGTGTGCGCGCTCCCCCTAAAGTATGGCCAGGTGTACTGCAGGGCTCTGTGTTGAGCTCTTCAGAGCATCCAAGGGGCATCAGTGGATCCATGCAGATTTTCAGCATCTTGGCACTCATGTTGAGAACTTGAAAGTTAGACTTGGTGAGCACCAAGGATTTTTCCCTACCAGAGCTAATTCCAGGAAGAGTCATTCTCAGCTCTAGGGACTTTTATTTGCACAGTTAAAATACCACAATTGAGTACCTCATCAGAAGTTTTCTTTTTCCTTTTCCTTTTTTTTTTGCTACCTTCAGAATCAAACCTCAGAGGAAGTGTTCTAATTATGGTGCCCTATGGGTAGAGATGGCATCACTCTTATGTTTTCATATTGAGCAAATTCACTTTGCCTTCACTTGCACTCTGACTTCTGCCAGAGTCTTACATTAATTTCCTATGCCAGAAGAGGTGACTTGAACATCCCACCTCCAGGAACTTCGTTTGGTAAACAAAAAACAAGTTGCATGAGGAGATAAAAGATAAAAGATTGGACATGTCTGCTGGGTACTGTGCTTAAATATATCATCTTAGTTCCTAGACAGCCAATGACCTGGGAATTGCAGTTTGAAGCCAGCCCAGGCTCTCCCTCCTCCCCGGGAATGCTTGGATGAAAGCCACTTCAAAGTGACATACTGCATATACAAACTTGTTCTAGAACGTGATCAAGGGGAATGTACTTGGACGAGGTCTTAAACATGTAACATTTACCTTTATTTCTCTTCCCAGGGCTTTGTAATTTATGATGTGGAATGTTATAAAAAATATGGAAAACTTTGGGGGTAAGTATTCTGGAAACTTCCATGGGGTAGATTGGTGAAGATGCGATAATCCATTCTGTTGGGACACTATCAGCCCAGAGTGTATTGAGCCACACTGATGAATTATGAATTCCGTGGAGGCTTTTCCTTATGAAGATCTCACCTGTCACTATTTGTGTATGTATATGTTGTGACAGTCCTGGAGCTTGAATTTAGGGCCTGGTCACTGTCCCTGAACTTTTTCCGCTCAAAGCTAGCACTTGTCCACTTGAGCCACAGTTGCACTTCTGGCTTTTTGGTAGTTATTTGGAGATAAGAGTCTCGTAGAGTTCTTCTCAGGTTGGCTTCAAAGCATGATCCTCAGATCTCAGCCTCCTGCCTAACCAGTATAGCAGAAGTAAGCCACCAGTGCCAGATATGTTTAATGTTTTTTTTTAACATATTAAAAGCCGTGGTGACTGGCATGGATAAAAGTCATGTATGCACTGGCTGAACTTATCCAAATGTCCCAATGATCATGAGCTCTTGGAAGATCTGTTTTGTCTTTAGGTGTCTCCTCTGTACCTCAGTACATTAGCCTTCATTCTGTGGACCCCTGTGCCATCTGTGTTCAAAATCCCTAGCTTGAACAAGGATCTATTATTGGCATATGTTGAGGAGCTTGGAGTATGATCACGGTCTGGATTTCTTTGTTCTGGCTCAAGGTGCAGAGCCTGGCAGGTTAGGTTTTTCACACAGCTGTGTTTGGTACACACACAGGTTGTACGATGGTCGGCAGCCCTTGCTGGCGATTACAGATCCAGATGTGATCAAAACAGTGCTGGTGAAAGAATGCTACTCTACCTTCACAAACCGCCGGGTAGGCATCCATTAAAAAACACGTTGTAATATTTATTTATCAACAAAATAGACATTTATCCCTTTTTATTATGAAAGAAGTATAAACTCTGGGGAAATGAGGGAGTGGGGAAGAACATTGAAATCAAAATGTTGGATTGAACCCTTTCTGTTTAGAAGATAAGTATAAGGAAGACAATAGATAAGTGTCAATAGAGAAGTGTCTAAAATATGAAATCCTGAAATCACATGAGGTAGCTGGGTGCCTCAAAAAAACTAAGCATTTGGGTTGAATTTCTTAGAGAGTTTCTTAGAGAGTTTCTTAGAGAGGGCTCACTTAGACAGCAAAACGTTCTTTATTTATTTTTTTTTTTGCTCTGATCGTGGGGCATGAACTCTGGGTCTGGGCGCTGTCTCTCAGCTCTTCAGCTCAAGGCTAGTGCTCTACCACTTGAGCCACAGTGCTGAGGAATCGAACCCAGGGCCTCCGGTATGCAAGGCAAGTGCTCTACCACTGAGCCACCTTCCCAGCCCGTAAAAAGTTCTTTAAATGCTGCCAATTCACCAATTTTATACAACTGTGCAAGATCTTCAATTGAAATATAACAAAAAACTGTTTTTTCTTGGAGTCTAGTCTTTTGGCCCAATGGGATTTATGAAAAATGCCATCTCCATCTCTGTGGACGAAGACTGGAAGAGAATAAGAACCTTGCTTTCCCCCACCTTCACCAGTGGGAAACTGAAGGAGGTAATCAAACCTGAGAACGTGGTGCTGGAACATTACAGAATGAGTCAGGGGACAGGCAGACAGCCAGACAGTCAGACCAAAAAATGGTGTGTTGTCTTTATGACCTAGAATTCCATGGTTTCTCATAAATGTGATGTATTTTTCATCTTTTTGGGGGGGGGCTGTCATGGCCGCTGGGATGTAAGTCTTCTCTTTTAACTTCTCTTGTTTTGTGCCTAGATGTTCCCCATCATTCGTGAGTTTTCTGATGGGTTGGTGAAAAACCTGAGACCACAAGCAGAGAAAGGCAAACCTGTAGC